CTGGACTTCTGGTAGTTCTCTGCTGATGTGCTGTTCCAGTCGTTTTTGGATAATCTTCAGTAAAATCTTGCTTGCATGTGAAATCAATGAGATTGTTCTATAGTTTCCACACTCTGTTGGGTCACCTTTCTTTGGGATAGGAACATTAAGAAAACAAAAACCCTTACAAGTGGACCAGTAAGAAACCTAATGATACATGTACACTAATATCACGAAGTTGTCTATAATGTAATTTTCCTTGGTTCTACAATCAACACCCAAGGTAGTAGTAGTCAAGAAATCAAAAGGCATGATGTATTGTGAAAATAGTCTGTCAAGGTTTCCTTTAAAGTACTAAAGACCAAGGGTATCACTTTTAAAACTAAGGTACACTTGACCTAAACCATGGTATTTTCAATTGCTTTATGTACATTTGAAGGTTGGACAATGAATAAAAAAGAGTGGGAAAAAAATGTGACACCTCTGAATTGTGGTGTTGACAAAAAGAAAGAACAAACAAGTTTGTCTTCAAAGAGGTGTAGCCAAAGTGCTCCTTAGAAGGTAAGATTGTGAGCCTTTGTCTCACATACTTTGGGCATGTTGTCTTAGAAAAGGATCTCATTCTTGGAAAAGTAAAGAGTCAGCAAAGGAGGGGTAGATCCTCAAGAGACAGACTGAAACAGTGATGGAAACAACAGATTTAGGCACAGGGCAGATTGTGAGAATGATGCAAGACATATGGGTTGCTATGACTAAGATAGCTATCCACTGGACAACACCTAATAAAAGCAAAAATATATTATTATAAATGAAAATAGTATTAATTTATATGTTCACTTATTTGTAATTTGTCTATCAAGACTCAAAAATTAAGTGTGGCCTTTTTTTGTCCAGCTACTACAAAGAACAGAGCCTTGGACATACTGTACATAGTTGTTAATAAATAAATTGTTAATTAACAATAAATTGTTAATTAATAAATGAGAATTGGTTTCTCTGAGGACACTTCCTAGTTCTCCAGTTGAATTTTCAATACCAATCATTGCCAAATGTTGATCAAGTTGGCTTATGAATGAAATGTCATCTAATCTTGTGACATACTCGCAAAAATCTCTGCCACATATAAACCTATTCTTGCAGCTATGTGTCAATCCAAGTTGAGGGTCTTCTTCCCTTTCATTGACATTCACTGATGTTACTTTGCAGGAATTTGCTCCTCCTGATAATATCTCAAGCATGTGAGATAAAGTCTTCCCAACCATGCTCCTAAGGAACACTTTTGTTGCTGCTGTGTACCGTAAAGTCAGAACTGACCCATAGCTGACCCTCCAGCTGGCTTTCAGAGTTGGTAAATCACACTGGAGGAGATGGCCCATCTTTCTCTTGCAGCACAACTAGTGGATCCAAATGTTTTGTTTTGGCAGTACAACCCTTACCACTAAGGTAATAACTAGAGCTTTACTTTTTACAAGACATTTATTTGTTCTTTTGTTATATTCATTATTTTTTTACCAACACCACAACACAAAGGCATTGATATTTCTTCAGTGTGGCATCAGGATTAGAGGAAGACTCATCAACAATCTATGTTATGCAGATGACACAACCCTGCTTGCTGAAACTGAGGAGAACCTGAAGCACTTGCTAAAGAAGGTAAAGGACTGTAGCCTTTAATATAAATTGAATCTCAACATAAAAAAGACAAAGATTCTCACAACTGGGTCAATTGGCAGGACCATGGAGGAGGGATTGAGGTTATTAACAGTTACAGCTTGATTGGCTTCACAATCAACACTCTTGGCCCTAGCAGTTAGTAAATAAAAAAGCTGAAATGCATTAGGTAAATTTGCTGTCAGGGACCTTTCCAGAGTCCTGAGAAGCAACGATGTCAGTCTAAAGACTAAGGTATGCCTGCCTAGTCCAGGCCATGGTCTTTGGAATTATTTATTCTGCATCAGAGAGCTGGACAATGACTAAGGATAGAAGAATTGAAGCTTTTGAGTTGTGGTGCTGGAGAAGAGTCTTGAACATACCATGCACCACCAATAAAACAAGGAAGTTTACCTTAGAGAGGGTTAAAACAAGTTTCTCCTTGGAGGTTAGGATTTTGAAGCTCCATCTCACACTTTGGGCATGTGGACAGGAAGAACTAATCCTTGGAGAAGGACATCATGCTCAGAAGTGTGGAGGGAGAGTGCAGGAGAGGAAGACCCTGAATGAGATGGACTGATAAAGTAACTAGGGCAATGGGGGTAGGTGTGTCAGAGACTGGCTCAGGACATGGCAGGCTTCAGAGGGTTGCTATGAGTCCCAGGCAACTTGACAGCACTTAACAACAACCTTTCACAGTGTTTTACTATTTCAAAGTTAAGATGTCTTTGGAAGACAATAATTGTATAGCCTATAAATAAAATTAGAACTTCCCAAATTATGATTTATTACAGTATGAAAATTAAAGAAATGAGAGATACATTATTTTGTTTGATTTATATTAGGTTAACATTTCATTCTCCCATAGTTCATGAAGATATTTAGAAGAACTTACTAAAGTCAGAAAACTTAATTTTGACAAATTTCCACATGCTATTATATTAAATTATAATAACTTACCCTGGTGCATAGTTGCAAATAAAAACTGCAGCATGTTTAATATATCCAAGTCTTGGACATGGAGTAACAGCACAACCAACTTTATAAGAGTTGTCCCAGACAAGCTAAAATAAAATTTTCAATAAAAACATATTCTAAAATAATTAGTGTAGTACTTATAAACATTCCATTCACATATAATCTATAACCAAAGAATTAAATGAACATGAACTATTCTTCATTTAGATTTAAGTAGAGAATCATTATACTTCCTAGGGTAGTATTTCTAATACTATATTTAGAGTAATACTTTAAAAGAGTCAAACATTAGTATATTCTTGGAAAATCTATTTCTAAAATGCTGATCCAGCATAATTCTTCAGAATCTAAAGAAGATATACCTGTTAAGTTAGTTTTCAGTTTCTGATTGAATCTGGGAGTTCTGGATCAGAGGTAGGGAGGAAGAGGAAAAGGAGTGAAAAAAGAAAGCTTTGGAAGAAAGGAAATTATGCAATGATGAGAGAAAAAAACCCCAAACATTAATAGCTTATGAGGGAAGAAAAGAAAAAGGAGAGTAGAAAACAAACTATCGGCATTTATCTGTCCTTTTCTTGAAGATATTCCACTAGAAGATATAAAGAATCCTGGTGGTGAAGTGTTTAATGGGTTAGTTAGCTAATGAGAGAAATATGGGCAATGACCTCCCTGAAAGATTTGCAGATGCAGAAACTAGAAGTTGAACTTGAAGGTAGTAGATGCCTTTTTTATCAGCATTTGTTTTTTCATTTTGTTAAGACATTCCATTTATGATATAATAAAAGTCTGTACCTTTTTTATCAATTACTCTAGCTTTACTTATTTATTCAACATTTAAAGTGTTTTAAATTAATATAGTATTCTTTTCTCCTTTTTATAATTAACCATTTTGTTTTTTCATTTTATACTGATTTATTCTGGGGAGCAGGAGTGGCATCCACTTCCTAAACAACATGCCTCTGGACACTATAAACTTCGATAAATTTTTATAGTTATAGAAAGGCTTCAGGCCTTTTGTTCATAGGGTTGCTATGAATTGTACTCTATTCAATGGCAATCATCAACAACAATTGATTTATTTACAAAGTTTGAATACATAGCTTTTCACAAAAGATCCTTTCCATTTGCTTCACCCTATCCACCCACCGAATTGTGCAAACATATGATTTTAAAAGGTCTAAGAAGAGAGCTAGAAAAGAAAACAGATTTCAAACTGGAATAATGAAATAATGAAAGATAGTCCAAAAATAGCCTGGATGGCTATAATAATAATAATACTTTAAAAAGCACGTGTTTCTTTGTTAATGTCTTAGGAGAGAGAACATTTCTATTTTTTTATTACCTTTCTTGGTATTTTTTTCCTTGTTGTTGTTGTTATGTGCTGCTGAGTCACCTGCGACTCATAGTGACCCTATGTACAAGAGCCCTAAACCTTGCTCTGTCCTGTGTCAATCTCACTGTCTCTGACACACCCACCCCAATTACATCAGTGATGGAATCAATCCACTTCACAGAGGGTCTTCCCCTCCTGCGCTGTTCCTCCACTGTCCCAAGCATGACGTCCTTCTTCAAGGACTGGTCCCTTTTTGCAACATGTCCAAAGTATGTCAGACGAAGCCTCAGAATCCTTGACTCCAAGGGGCAGCGTGGTTTAACCGTCTCCAGGATGAACCTGTTTGTTTTCTTAGCAGTCCATGGACATTCAATACTCTCCTCCAGCATCACAGCTCAAAGGCATCACTTCTCCTTCTATCCTCCCCAATCATTGTCCTGCTCTCTGATGCATAGCATCTGTATCAGGAGCACCTTAGTTTCTAGAGACACCATTGCTCTTCAGTACTTTGGAGAGTTCTCTAACAGCAGACTTTCCCATCGCAATGTGTCTTTTAATTTCCTAGCTGCTGGTGCCAAGAGTGTTGACTGTGGAGCCAAGCAAGCTAAAGCTGTGAACAATCTCAATCTCTTCACCATCCATCCTGATGCTGCCAATCGGCCCAGTGGTAAGAATCTTTGTCTTCTTGATATTGAGCAACAATCCATAATGAAGGCTGCAGTCACTGACATTCTGCAGCAAGTGCTTCAGGCCCTCCTCAGTTTCAGCAAGCAGGGTTATGTCATCTGTATAAAGCAGATTGTTGATGAATCTTCCACAAAACCTGATGTCACATTTCTCCTCATACAGCCCATCCTCCCAGATAATCTGTTCTGCATATAGTTTGAAAAAGTATAGGACACATCCCTGGTGTACACCATTCCCAATTTTGAACCATGCAGTGTTTCCTTGCTTTGTTCTGACAACTGCCTCCTGGTCCAAGTATAGGTTTCACATTAGCACGATCAAGTGTTTTGGGATTCCCATTCTTCTCAGAGTTAGCTGTGGAAGGCCGTGTGCAGTCGCCATTACAAGATGGCGCTGATTTCCTGCTTCCTTTTGTTTGCCTTAATCACAAATAAGACCTTATTTGGTCACCGTGTCTTTATTGGTCAATGGCTTGATTTCACGTGGGGTTAATGGTCCAATGGAGGCATGATACGTGAAACTGATAGGCGGAGTACTAAGAGAGAGATATAAGCCGCGCCCTGGGAGGGTCCAAAAAGGAGCTCCATGTTTTTCTCCCTAACTGTAACTAACTCCTGAGTAAACCGCCGTGAGAAGGAATCACTGGTGTGTTGTGTCCTTATTCCTGCTGGACAGGCAAGGCGTGCAACAGTTAGCCACAGTTTATTATGATCCACACAGTCAAACACCTTCACATAATTAATGAAACACTTCTTTAAATAAATAAAATTTTTATTTTATACTGGTTTATGTACAAAGTTTGTATACATTGTTTTTCATACTGGCTATTTCTCATTTCCTTTAACCACTTCTCCCTCTCTAGTCATTGTGTGCTCCTATGATCAACCTAGTTAATCAGATAGATGAGACACAGTTAATCAGCTTACACTTGATTGATAACACAATTTAGAAATATCCAAACAGTTTACCCCAGTTTTCTAGTACATCACAAACACCCACCAGGATCTAACTTTGCCAAACTAAAGGCTCACTCCCAGTGAGGAACAGACAGAATTTTGAATAATAAGACCCACCCACCAGATCCTGTTTGCCCATGCAGAGGCTTCCCACTAGAGCTGATTGTAAATGAGAACTCACTCTGCATTTCTTAAGATGAAAGAACTGAAAAACAAATTTAGGCCTCATGTCACAATGTTGAAAATTGCTTTGGGCAATGTATTGAATGATCCAGAACACATCAAAAGAAACTGGAGGTAATACACAGAGTCACTGTACCAGAAAGAACTGATTGATTTTGAAAAATTTCAGCGAGTACCTTATAAGCAGGAGCTGATAGTAATGAAAGAGGAAGTGGAAGTTGCATTGAAGACACTGGCAAAAAAATATGGCCCCAGGAATCAATGAGATACCAATTGGCTTCTTTCATTTAACAGATAATCTTGGGTGCACTCACCAGTCTATGCCAGGAAATTTGGAGGACAGTTTTCCAGTCAATGGACTGGAAGAGTTCCATATTTGTCCCTATTCCCAAGAAGGGTGATCCAACCAAATGTGGAAATTATCGAACAATATCATTGATATCACATGCTAGCAAAATACTGCTGAAGAACATTAAAAAATGCCTGGAATAGTACCTAGAGAGGGAACTGCCAGAAGTTCAAGCAGGATTTAGAAGAGGCTGGGGCACAAGGAATATCATTGCTGATGTCAGATGAATCCTGGCTATACATAAAGAATACCAGAAGAATGTCTATTTGTGCTTTATTCAGTATGCAAAGGCATTTGACTATGCAGATCATAACAAGTTGTGGCTGACATTGAAAAAAATGGGAATCCCAGAGCACTGGACTGTGTTCATGAGGAACCTATAGCTGGAGCAGGAGGCTGTTGTGAGAATGGAGCTGGCAAGCACTGCATGGTCTGGAATTGGGAAGGGAGTGTGTCAGGGATGTAGTCTATCCCCACACCTATTCAATCTATATGCTGAGGAAATTATCCAAAAAGCTGGACTCTATGAAGAGGAGTGAGGCATCAGGATTGGAGGGAGACTCAACAATAACCTGAGTTATGCTGATGACACAACGTTGCTTACAGAAAATCAAGGAACGCAGCCTTTGGTATGGATTGCATCTCATTATGAAGAAAACAAAGATTCTTACCACTGGACCAATAAGCAGTGCCATGATGGATAAAGAGGAGATTGAAACTGTCAACAGCTTCATCTTGCTTGGATCCACAACTAACACCCTTAGTATGAGAAGTCAGGAAATAAGGAGATGCATTGCAATGGGAAAATCTGCAGTTAGTGACTTTTCCAAATTATTGAGTAGTGATGTCAGTTTAAGGATTAACGTACGTCTGTTCAGGGCATAGTCTTTCCAATTACTAGCTATGCATCTGAGACCTGGACAATGAATAAGGATGACAGAAGAAGAATTAAGGCCTTTGAGCTGTAGTGTTGAAAAAGAGCACTGAACATTCCAAGGACAGCCAAGAAAATGAATAGATAGGTCTTGGAGAGGTTGCAGCCAGAGTGCTCTACGGAGGCAAGAATAATGAGGCTTTACCTCAAGTACTTTGGACATATTGCTAGGAGGAGCTGTTGCTTGGAGAGGGACATGATGTTGGGAAGTGTGGAGGGTCGGCGAAGGAGAGGAAGACCCTCAAGCAGGTTGATTAACAAGGTGACTGCTTCAATAGGCTCTTGTGTGTTAGGCAGTGTGAGGATGGCTATATTCAGGATAGGACTATTTTCACATCTTTTGTTCACAGGGTTGCTATGAGTCATACTCAACACCCTATCCCCACCCCACCCCTGCCCATCCTCACCCCTCTGCTCTCCCTCACCCCCTTCCATTGGATCTTTGTACACGTTCTACAATAATTGTCTTACACAGTGTTTGTCCTTATGGGGCTGAGTTAGTTCAATTAGCATAATGCTCTCAAGTCTTTCCTAAGTTAGGTTATAAGTTACAAAATCATTTCTTCTGCATGCTGCATATTCCATCAAGTGAACGTACCAAAATTTTTCAATCCGATCCATTTGATTGTGGTTTAACATTTGGGCTTTTCCATGTTCTTGTGATGGTGAATAGTGTTGCTATGAACACTGGTGTACAAGTCTCCATTTATGCCTCTGTTCTCATTTTCTCAGGGTATATTCCAAACAGTGGAATAGTTGGGTTATATGGAATATCTATGTTCAGCTTTCTGAGGAAACACTAAACTGCCTTCTAGAGTGGCTGTACCAAAATCCCTCCAGCAGTGTATAAGTGTTCCTATCTCTCCATATCCTTTCCAACATTAATAACTCGCTGTCTTGTTAAACTTTGCCACTGCTACTGAAGTGAGGTGGTACTTCATTGTGGTTTTGACTTGCATCTCTCCAATTAGCAGTGATTTTGAGCATTTCTTCATGTGTCTATTGGTCATCTGAATATCTTCCTCTGTGAAGTCTTTCCATGTCTTTTGCCCATTTTGTAATTATCAGTCTTTTTCTTGTGGAGGCCCTGTAGGATTCTGTAAACTTACGTTATGAGACAATTGTCTGAAATAGTATTTCCAAATGTTTTTTCCAGTCAGTAGGATTTCTTTTTGCTCTTCTGGAAAATAATTTTGATGCACAAAAGGGATTGAATCTTTAGAATATCCTATTGTCTGCATATAAATGTAATTACATGACTCAATGGTTTTATGTGTGATTTATAAGAGAAATAGATTAATGTATTAAAAGAATATAGACTATCTATAGGGTTGATATCATCTTTTTCTTTGGTAATGGGAAAAATATGGATCTCTTCTAGTCAAATGGCTAGATAGTCTTCCTGATTTCGTGGCACAGTCTGTTGAGCATATCAAGGGCTGCCATAGTCATCTTTCAATATTGCAACTAAAAACTCAAATTTGGGTTTTGGCTCTTTCTGCTTGATAAATGATGAGAGAGGTTTCCATTTTTATTTTCTGACTCGAGTTCAGTACATCAGCAAAGAAGTATTAGAAGTTCAAGCTGGATTTGGAGGAGACTGTGACATCAGCGATATCATTGCTTATGCCATATGGATCTTGGCTGAAAGCAGAGAATAGCAGAAGGATATCTATTTTTGTTTTATTGATTATGCAAAGGCTTTGATTATGTGTACAACAAATTATGGCTAACATTGAGAAAAATGGGAATCTCAGAACACTTAATCGTGCTTATGTGAAACTTACACCTACACTAAGAAGTTATTGTCTTAACAGCACAAAAGAACAGTGCATGGTTTAAAATCAAGAAAAGTATGGGTTTCAATGATATATCCTTTCTTTATACCTATCAAATCTGAATAAATAATTTGGGAAGTAGCACTTTATAAGGAAAATGTGGTATCAAGACTGGGGAAGACTCTTTAACAACATGAGAGTGAAGACCTGAAGTGCTTACAGCAGATCAAAGACTATACCCTTCAATATGATTTACATCTCAAAATCAAGAAAATGAAAATAGATACCACTGGAAAAATAGGCAATATAATATTAGAAGGATAAAGGAATGAAATTGTCAACAATTTCATTCTACTTGGCTCCACAAAATACCCTTGGTAGCAGTGTTGTTTTTGTTGTTTTTAAGTGCCATCAGGTCATAGGAGACTCAGCGACCTTATGTATAAAAGACCTGGACACCTGCGTAACTTTAGTCCTTTCTGCAGACTCATAAGGTTTCCAGAGGCAAGCAATTTCGGAAGTGGATGCCACTCCTGCTTCCAAGCTTGTTTCAACCAGGGAGAACCACCTAACACTGTCCACTGTGGGTAACGATTCTCACATTTGACACATCAGTGTCACAGTATTCAGCTTACCAGTTGTTGTTGTTATGTGCTGTCGAGTCACTTGCGACTCATAACAACCCTATGTACAACAGCCCTAAACTCTGCTCTGTCCTGCACCAATCGCACTGTCTCCGATATACTCATCCCAATTACCTTAGTCACTGAATCAGTCCACCTCATAGAGGGCCTTCCCCTCCTTCACTGTCCCTCCACCCTCCCAAGCATGTTGTCCTTCTCCAAGGACAGGTCCCTCCTTACAACATGTCCAAAGTATGTCAGACAAAGCCTCAGAATCCTTGCCTTCAAGGAGAATACCAGTTTAACCCTCTCCAGGATGAATCTGTTTGTTTTCCTAGCAGTCCATGGTATTCTCAGTACTCTTCTCCAGGACCAAAGGTCAAAGGCATCAATTATCCTTCTATCCTCCCTAGTCAGCTTACCAGTAGTCAAGAATTAAAAAAAAAAATAAAATAACAAAAACAAAAAATGTGTTAGATTGGGACAATCTGCTGACAAGGATCTCTCCAAATTTCTACACAGTATAATAGTTTAAAGACCTAACCCAATCCATGCTCTTTTCAATTACTTCTATGCATCTGAAAGTTATACAATATTTAGGATGATAGAAGAAGAATCCATACCTTTAAGCTGTGGTGCTGGAGAAGGATACTGATTATTTTACGGAAGATCAAAAGAGCTAACAAATATAACTTGGAGGAAGTACAACCAGAGTGATCCTTGGAAACAAGGATGGTGAAACTTCATCTCACATACTTTGAGCATGTCAGTTTCTGGAAAAATATATCACGTTTGGAAAGACAGAGGCTTAGTAAAAAAGAGGAAAACCCCCAACAAGATGAATTGACACAATGACTATAACAATGGGTTCAAGCATATCAGGGATGAAAAAGATGTCATAGGTCAGGGCAGAGTACAAATCTGCTGTTCACAGGGTTGCTATCAGTCATAGTTAAATTGATGGCCCAAAAAGCAAAATAATAGTTGATGTCAAATCAACAGGAATAATAGTCATATACTGGGAACAAGAAAATCTAGGTCACTATACAGCACATGAGAGGAAGAAACCAGGTGAGATGGAGTGATACAGTAACTGGGACAATGGGGGTGGTGTGTCCACTTAGTGTGTACACACTTAGTGGTGTGTAGACTTAGTGAGACTGACTCGGGACAGGGCAGGGTCCAGAACTGCTGTATATACAGTCACTTTGGGTCTTGACTTGATGGCACATAACAACAACAACATAATGGAACAGAATTAGCTGTAAAAAATAAAAGTATGTGAAGGATGTGGTTAGCTTTAAAATCATAGAGAGGATACTACCTTTGATATAAATGTTAGACTACTATAACTTACTAGGAAGGAAAAAGAGCTGACTTCCAAAATTTTAAAACATGATTCATTTCAAGAAACAAAACCCCATTAATTTAATATGAGCAAATGATACTTCTACATAAATTAGCATACCTGAGTTTATAGATTGGAAATTAACTATCCTTAAAAGTTGGAAGTTCGTGCAATAACTTCTTTATTTCGTCTGCATTTATTAAAGACCTAAACATGTTATGTTGTATTGAGAACATATAGATAAGAAGACCAAGTTCCTGCCCTTAGAGCATTAGATTGTCATCTTGTTGTTGATAGCCATCGAGCACGACTCATAGTGACCCTATGAACAAAAGGTCTAAAGTCTTTCTATAACTATTGACATTTATTAAAATTCATAGAGTTTCAAGAAGCATGTTGTTTAGGAAGTAGATGCCACTCCTGCTCATAGGGTTTCCAAGCAAATAAATCTTTATGGAAGCCAACTGACACATCTTTCTCACAATGAGCAGTTGATGGACTTCAATCACCAAACTTTATACTTGTAACATGTAATGTAAAGGTGATGGTTCAAGCATTTTAACCTCTGTATCTCCGGGATTTCTCCTATAGAGATTGTCGTTGGTGTTAAGAGTCATTGAGTCATAGATGACTTATAGCGACCCTATGAATGAAACACCTGAACACTTGTATAAATTTCATAGTTTTCCAAGTTCATAGGGTTTCTGGAGGCAGCTATTTCAGAAGTGGATACCACTTTTGTTTCCAAGCTTGTTTTAATCGGGGAGCTCCACCGAGCACTGTCCACAATGAGTAACCATTATTACATTTGACAGATCAGCATCACAGTGCTCAGCACCACAGCAACCACAAGTTACCTCTGTACAACAAATGCACAGAGCAGGGTTACATCACTTAGAAAAATGTTTGACCAAAAACAATTAAAACTAGGCCCGAGGGCCACAGATTAAAATCACCCACCTTTGACTTGGTAGCATAACTTTCTATCCACCAGACCCACAGAGCTCTCTCTATGTTGGTTGTGTTAAGTGCCATCGAGTGGTAGACGACTCATAGTGACCCTACGAAAGACCTGAACACTTGTATAACTTTCATCATTTCTACAAGGTCATAGGGTTTTCCAGAGGTGAACTATTTTGGAAGTGGATGCCACTCTTGCTTCCAAGCTTGTTTTAATCGGGGGGATCCTCCAAATAATGTCTACCATGAGTAACCATTATTCATTTGACACATCAGTGTCACAATGTTTAGCATCACAGTAACCATGAATTACCTCTGTACAGCAAATGGACAGAACAGTGCTATCCCACTGAGAAAAATGTCTGACCAAAACCAATTAGAACCAGGCCTGAGGGCTGAAATGTGTTTTTTAAAAAGAGGCTGAATACGATCAACTCACAAGCAATGGCCAGTAAACATTGCATCAAAATTCTTGCCAGAAACAGAGATCAAACCTCTACACAGTCAGGCTGCTTCAGAATACTCAGCACTTGGATTCCAGACATAGAGATTAAGTTTACTATATTTCAAAGAATGTCTTAATGATGTGGTTTATATAACAGACAGAATTATTGGTAGTTTGAAGATCATTCTATTACAAGCAAACATTTTACCAATTAAGTTTAATTATATATTTTAAATATAATCAACAAAAATAGAATATTAGTGACTATTTAATTAACAATATAAAAATTAAATACCTGTAAATAATGAGAACAGACAGTAATGCAACTATCATTTTCATAATGATAGTTTCTCTTTTCTGCAAACCAACTTCTGATAGCAACAGTTGCAGTGAATTCATTTTCTGGGCCAACCCAGATATTTTCACCAATACCATTATACTTAGGATGGGCCATATGTAGATCTCTCAAATAAACATTAGTTGACTGCAAACATCTTTTCCCCCATGCTCTAGCAGTCCGTGACAAAGCTACATCCCATGTCTGAAAGAAATGCAAAAAGCAAAGAAATAAAATAATAAACATAATAATAAATTCTGTGCTCTTAATTATGCTCCTTGAGGTTTCATAGATTTGAGAAACACAGAATTCTAACTTTGTATTTTTCAGTCTTGTTTATGAAATTTCTACAAGGAAAATCTTTAGATATAGCCATAAAAATAACATTTCTGAGGCAAAAAACCATGAAAATATTTTATAATTGTTGTTGCTAAGTACTGATCTGAGTTCTGTCCTATCCTATACCATCCTCATCATGTCCAGTATACTTGAGCCTAATGCTGAACTCAGTGTGTCAATCCATCTCAGTGAGAGTCTTCCTCTCCTTTGCTAAACCTCTACTTTTCTAAGCATAATGTATGTAAAGTATGTAAGACAAAGCTTATCTCTCCTTCTTTCTACAGCACTCTGGCTGGCTGCACAGTCTGAGTTGTGGTATTCGAGAAGAGTACTGAATATCGTATGGATTGTCAAAAGAACAAATGATAAGTCTTAGAGATTTTATAATTGGTGTATCTAAATATTCCTCAAACTGACATCATTACTCCTCAATAATTTGGAGAGATCCCAAACTGCAGATTTTCCCAGTGCAATGCATCTCCTTATTTTTTGACTGCTGGTAACAAGGGTGTTAATTGTGGATCCAAGTAAGATGAAGCTGTTGACTGTTTCAATCTCCTCTCCACCGGTCATGATGTTACCTATCGGTCCTGTGGTAATTACTGAGGAGTAATGATGTCAGTTTGAGGACTAAGGTGCATCTGATTCTGGCCATAGACTTTTCAATCACTTGCTATGCATCTGAGAGCTGGAAAATGAATAAGGATAACAAAAAAGGAATTGATGCCTTGAGCTGTGGTTGGAGAACAGCACTGAACATCCCATGGATGCCTAAGAGAACAAACAGATATGTATTGGAGAGGGTACAGTTGAAGTATTCTTTGGAGGCAAGAATGATAAGGCTTTGCCTCACATGCTTAGGCTTGTTGCTAGGAGGGGCTAATTCTTTGGAGAGGGACAAGATGCTCAGAAGGGTGGAAGGTTGCAAAGGAGTGGAAGACCCTCAACCAGGTGGACTGACACTCTGACTGTAGCAATAGGCTCTTGAGTGTCAGGAAATATGAGGATAGCACAGGATATAACAGGGTTCAGATCTTTTGTTCACAGAGTTGTTTTGAGTCACACTCCATTCGATGGCACCTAACAACAACATAAATAATTCAAATGTTAGATGGTATGTTGTGTTGTTGTTAAGTGCTTTCGAGTCACAGGCGACTCATAGCGACCCTATGAAGGAGAGTCCTCGATGCTTGGGTGCCTTTCATCCTCTCTCCAGGTTCATAGGGTTTCTGGAGGCAAGCGATTATGGATGCCACTCCTTCCAAGCTGCTATGAGTTAGTTTAAAATTCTTATGTGTAGTCAATTTGTTAAAGATAAGCAGTGCTTTTTTTTCCTTTTAAGTGTTTCACATAATTTTTTTTTTACTTGACTGAAAGTTTAGAAATGATATTGGTTCTTTTTCAATCATACACATACATTTTTATAACATTAATTACAATTGATTAATTTATTTAATTATAATATCAAATCCCTACTGCAAGTATGTTGTGCTGTGTTCCACTGAGTTGGAACCAATCCATAGCTGACCCTCTGGTGAGTTTTCAAGGCACTTTAATCCATTGCATTTTTACTCTACTCAGTCATTGCCATTAAATTGAAAACAAATTATAGCTGACCCTCTATTGGGTTTCTGAGACAGTAAATCACATGGGAGGAGATTGCCCTTCCCCCTCTCACAGAGCTGCTGGTGGTTAGCAGCTGAACTCTTAAGGATCAGGATACTAGAGCTCTCTAGTTAAACTCCATAGAGAACAAACTCATGTGTTTTGGAAGAAGTGCAATTAGGATGATTCTTAAAGGAAAATTCTTAAAGGAAATCTCACCTCCCATACTTTACACATATCAGGAGGGGCCAATCCTTTGGAAAATATATCATATACTTGGAAAAGTAGAAGGCCAATAAGGGAGAGGAAGATGTATAGATGAAATGACTGCACCAGTGGCCTTAAATACAGCACGGAGTGAGGAAGGAGCAGAATTGGATGAGTTTTAATCTGTTGTGCACTGAGGTGCTAAGAGCAGGACTCAGCTCAATAGCATCTAACAACAACTATGCCCACTAGTAAGATCTTTAAAATGGGATCTTTGTAGGATATATTTTAAAAGCAATTAAAAAACTAGATTTGCATGTAGCAATATGAATAAATTTCACGTGCATACACCATTGAAATATGCTCAAGAGAAACCTATCCATAGACCAAAAAGCTGCTCTCAGAACAGAACAAGGGGCATCATATGAGTTAAAATCAGGGAAGGTGTATGTCAGCTTTTTCCATACTTAGTCATCTCTCTGCTGAGCAAATAATTCAAGATGTTGGACTACATGAAGAAGAACGCGGCATCAGGTTTGGAGGAAGACTTGAAAACCTGTCTTATGCAGGTGGCACAACCTTGCTTTCACAAAGAGAATTTGAAGCACTTGCTTCAGAAAGTCAAAGACTGCAGTCTTCAATACACATTACATCTCAACATCAAGAAAACCAAAGTCCTCACTCCTCGACTAACATGATAGATAGATAGATAGATAGATAGATAGATAGATAGATAGATAGATAGATAGATAGATATAGATAGATAGAAAAAAACACCCTGAAGTTGTCAAGAACTCAGTTTTATTTGGATTCACAATCAACACTCCTGGTAGCACCAGCCATGAATCAAAAGAAATACTGCACTAGGCTGATGTACTCTCAAGTACCTCTTAAAGTGTTAAAGAGCAAGGATGTCAGTTAAAGATTAGGGTGCATTTGATCTAAACCATGATATTTTCAGTTGCTTCCTATGAATCTGAATGATGTACAATTAATAAGGATGGCAAAAGAATTGATTGATGCCTTTGGATTGTGGTGTTGGAGAAGAGTTCTGAAGTTCTGAATATTCTATGGACTGCCAAAAGAATAAATATGTCTGTTTTGGAGGAAGTGCAATGAGTGTGCTCCTTACAGGCAAATATGGTGAAATTTCATCTCACCTACCTTGGACATATTATCAGGCAAGACTAGTTCTTCAAAAAAGATATCATGGTGGGAAAGGTGAAAAGTAGGCAAAAAAAAAGAAGACCCTAAGGGAGAATGATTAACTCAGCAACTGTAACAATGTGTTTGAGCATATCAGAGATTTTGAGAATGGCGAAGGATAGCACAGGGTTTGGATCTGTTAATGATAGGTTTGCTGTAATTCGTGGCCAACTCAAAGGTACCTAACAACGAACACAACAACAACAGCAAAGTTGTGAATTAAAACAACCACCACAACAAAACACTAAAAGACTGTTGTCTGCTATATGATCCTATTTATAGACTAGAAAAAAAAATCAAAAGCAGCAGCATTATTTTTTGTGTGGATAACTATATTTGTTAGATACAAAAGTTTTAAAAATGGACTGGAGTAATCCATTTGAAATTCATAAAAGTTTTTGCTTCTAGGATTGGAGAGGAGAGAATGGGACTGAGACAGTTACTAAATCAGATGTTAACTTTAAGTGCAATGTTAAAAATGAAAAAAGATCAGCAATATTAAAATGTTATGATAAAGTTGTATGCCATTTGATAGTACATCAGAAGAACTCAAGTACAAATTAAGGGTCCTAAAGTAAGACAAGGGAGCTCTGGTGGCCTAGTGGTAAGAAGTTGTGCTGCAATTGCAAAGGCACACAATTCAAATCCACCTGCTACTCGGCAGGAGAAATATGGGTAACCTTTTTCCATATAATTTATTGCTTCTGAAAACCTGCTGGATTGTCAGCTATTGGTCGGTTCCAACTCGACAATACTCACAAGAACAAAGCAGGACTACCTCATTAAATTAGGAGTAGAATTCATGTATGCATATTCATTCATGTTTTTATTACAGTATTATCCACAATAGCAAAGAGACAGAAACAACCCAAGTGACTGTCAGCAAACAAATGAATGGATTGGAAAAACTGAGGCACATTCACAATGGAATATTATGCAGTACTAAAAAACAATGAACTTTTAAATCACTAGACAACTTAGATGGTCTAGAAGACATGCTAAGTAAAATAAATCAGTTACAAAAGAATAAATATTACATAAGACCACTGTTATAAAAAGAGCACGAAATGTTCAACAATGCTAAAAAATTATTTTTTAAAAAGGATGGATATGGGGCAGGAAAGAGCAGTAAAGAAAGGAAAGATAATGAACACTACACTGGAACAGAAGGGAAGGAGTTTTTTAAAGGAATGGATGATTAGAAATCATATGTATGACAATGCTTTACAAAGTGAATCGAGTTAGGGAGAAGGAGAAAAATGTGTATTAGTGGATGAATGAAAACTCATTCTTTCTGTAAACTGTCACTAAAATCACAATCAAGAAGAAAGAAGTTGGTGAGAAAATAAGGGCCTAAAACTTACTTCTGAAATGACACAGAAAAACAGAATACAGAGATTGAATAAGCGGCAGAAAATAAGATTTAAGGAAGAGATGGGGAAAGTTCAACATAAATCTAATAGGAATCAAAGAAGAGGCTTTTAGAGATGATGTTCCTCTGAAACAGTGCCTAAGAACTTTAGTTATCAGTACATGTAAATACAGACTAAAGAACAGGCTCTGAATTGTTGTTAGGTGCCATCAAGTCAAGTAACCCTATAAACAGCCATACTGAACTCTGTCTTAACCAGTGCCATCCTCATAATTTCTGATACACTAGAGCCCACTGCTGAAGTCACCATATCAATCCATCTCATTAGAGGTCTTCCATTTCTTTTCTCATGCTCCATCTTTCCTAGCATGATGCCCCTCTCCAAGGAATAGCCTTGCCTAGCTAAATGTCCAAAGCATTAACGATGAAGCTTCACCATCTTTGCATTTCAAAAGTACTGTGGCTGCACTCCTTC